ATTTAATTGATAAATTTCATGGCCAACTTATTGTTCTTTTAATGTTATAAACTTAACAAAATCACAAACTCCCTTGTTGTAAATAAATATCCACTGTAAATAAACTATATACATTCACAGATTTTGTTAGAAATTAAATTAATGAAAGAAATCAACTATAAAACTGATATAATAGAAACTCATTAAAATGTAAACAAAATAGTGAGCCTTGTCCTTTCATTTTGGCAAAAACTGCCATGTGAACAGAAAGTTTAATATGAATGAAGATGTAGGAGGTGACACTTCCTAAGGTAAGTTGTTGACTACATCTTATAGGCAAAATTGGATCCACCACCTGTTTTTGTCAATAAAGTTTTATTGGAACACATTCATACACATTAAATATAGTATCATTATAAGTAATATATACTATATTTAACATGTACAAGTATAAGTCATGGCTGATTTCACATTAACATAATAATATGTAGTTGTAGTAAACTATGTGCCCTGCTAAGCCTAAAATGCTTTCTCTTTGAACTAGAAGATGTTGACTGATCCTCTTTAGATAATCCAGAGAGATTCCTTTTCTTACTCCTTCTATCCAACTTCAAATTGACCAAAATATGCATTAGAATCCTGAAGGAAAATATTAGAATATTCTGTTTATAATTTACTTTCATCTTAAAAAACAAACAAAAAAAGGGGTTTATGTTTCACTCATTGGGCAATATCATGTGTCATTTGCCATATACAAGGGTGGGGAATGTCTCACAACTCAGAAGATTTTCTGTAGCACCCATACCTTATTCAGATGCATTCCCAGTATTGTGAGGTTCCATTATGTTGGTGTGTCTGGCTAATTGCCCTTAGGGATTATTTTATTTAGTTTGTGTTAAACTATTATTCACAAAGTGAAGAAAGTATCTTAAAGGGATTCTTTTAAATACAACACACAGTAGATCCTTTAGTAATAAGATAAGCAAAAGCATACAATAACTAAAAGTGGCAGAATTCACATTATTTCTTAGTATAAACTCCCTGGTGCCATAAAATTATTGTAACTTAAAGAAGAGTTCTTTTTGACTAATTCTACATAAATGCATGTGTTTGTGGGCGTGTACAAGTGTGTTTGAATTTGACTTTACTTTCTTAAGCGATCATACCTGATTACATTGTCTTAGTTGCATAATCTTTTCTGAATTCACAAGGTGCTCAGCGATATCTCTGCTTAATATTTTATTCTTTTTCATTTTCCTCCCTAACTATCCCAGACCTTTTTTTCAAATAAAGCTTACTACTGTGCAAAATCAATACCAGTCCTGTCCCTGGGATTGAGAACTGTATTTTTGCATTTTCTTTTGGCTCCTGGGGAAAATGGTCTAAGAACTGATCTACAAATTAGAGACTTTGCACCTACCCTCTCCTTACTTCCTTTCCCCTTTTCCTCCAAAAGTTTCTTCCTCTTAAAATTCATTAGAAAAATTAACCTAAATCTTCTGGTGTGAAGCCTTAGAACTTGTGATCATGTATACCAAATAAATAATGATAAGACTTTTAGAAGGATAAAGACAGATACTGAATGATCTTATTCACATGTACAAAGTAAAGAAACAAAACACAGGAAAAGATGAAGGCCAGTGAAAACAAGCCTTAGCTTCTGACCATAGAACTGAGATTACCAAGATGAGAGTTGGCAGAAAATGGATTGAAAAAATTCAAGGGATTCCGTTGGGAGGATGGTGATGGCCATCTAGTGTTAATATTATTCCTGTGAAACATTAATATTTTCTTTTTGTAAACCACTGTTTCTTCAATGAAATAATAATTAGAAATCTATAAAGGATATACTATGTTTTAACAGTTCTCATGAAAATAAAACCCATAGATGCAGAATGATCCCATTTATATGTGGGACCTAACGACTTATAGTAAGATAGTAACAAAGGACCAAAAACAACACCAGAGAACTAATCAACACAATTGAGCTGGAGGGATGGGTTAAAGGGAGAGGAATTAGGGTTCTTTATAGAGGGAGGTGAATCCACTGAAGATGATGTGGTGTTGGAATTAAGTGCATGGGAAACCCATAATAAGAGCACTGTAAATTACAGGACCTCAGTCAAAAGAATAAATTAAATTTAAAAATGAATAAAATAAAATAACAATTCTTAGGAGATTAAGTACAAACTCTACCTACTCTCCCGTTGCACAGATATTTTGTCAATGACAAATCCTTTTTTCATGAACCAAAATATGGATATTTTATTAAGTCTTAATTTTCTCTTTGTCACCAAGGTAACTTGAGAGAATTTATGAATTCTATGAGAGTTTTAAACAGCAAGTGTTAGATAGATTTTGGACTGATCAGTTTGAAACCAAACAAATCAGAAATGTGGGAGTAGGAAAAAGATGAAGAGCATCTCTGGGGCAAGAGTAATGAGTGTTTTACGTACACAATTTAATTTAATCCTTATAAGTGAATGGAGTAAATATTGTCTTAGTGAGTCACTTACTGTAAATCAGGCAATTAGTGACTGATTCCATATCTGCCTGAAGTCATGCTTTTTAACCAAGGCACTGTACAGATGTGCTTTGTATTAGTTATACAGCTTTAAATAAATGACTTACTTGTCAATTTGATGACTCATTTCACTCATTTCTAAAGGGGTGTAAAAAAAATCACTAACACTGTGTCCTGGCTATATCGTTATATCTAATTCTAATGAAGCTCCATTTCTTAGAAGTACTTACATTCATACTGTCTTTGGAATTCAAGACAAAACAACTGAGAGACACACTCCTGGCTTTACAGTCAGTAGTGGAGCCTGAACTTCGACTATCAATTCCTTCTACATTTTCCTTCCAAGACATTACCTGAGAGTGAATTTTCTGAAAACAATCTAAATGAAAGACCCATTTATTTAAATGGAAAAACATATTTAAAGCACAGAGTAGATTTACAACATGGAGTGCATTTGTTTTTTCATCTCATAAATAAATTCCTTCTTTCAGAATATGATTCCACAAACATTGATTTTGTGCTCCATTTAAAAGATGAATATTTAGAACCCGGGAGAAACATAGGAATGAGTGGATTAAATGCAGGAAAAGTTAGTTATCGCTGGGGATAGGATGTGGAGCATGATATGCCGACTGCAAACTTTCAACAGGCAGCCAGTGTGTGCTCTGTAAGTAGTCACTCTCAATTCTTTTGTTTTTGAAGAAAAACATTTCCAGCTAATAACACAATTACACTTAAGTATCAGAGCTCATTTTAGTATTATTGCATTTGTTAAATCTAACTGAGTCCAAATTACTTCCTCATTGCTAATAAGAGAAAGGGGAGGAGGGAAAGGAGAGGGAGATTAAGGGGGAAGAGAACCTCGCGAGGGTCAAAGAAAGAGGAGACATATCCAGAGTGACAGAGAGAAAAACACAGAGCTATCAATGCTGCACATCGCCTCAAGTCCAATAAATGTCAGTTAAACTTGCTGCCCACGGTTTCTATGGAAACCCCTTAAGTTAAGAGTGGAACACAGACATTTTTTGGACTGCAATTCACAAGCTGTTTATTTAATTATGATGAAACATGAGACTGTTAGGGACAATACTATTATCATCCTGACAGCATTTAGAATTCAACAAATAGGTATGGCAAAACAAAAAGTTATTATTTTAAAAAAAATCATTAGCTTCTCGTGAACTGCATGTAAATAAAATGCATCTTGTTTCTACAGGACTTCACACATTATTTCCCACAGGCAACCCCAAATTAGCCAAATGACATTCACTAAAAGGGAGTTCTTCAGAGGCCTCATGCCAATTATACCCTCCCATGCCCAGTGAACAAAACCAAGGTCACAGCATATTTTCAATTAAACCCAGGATAGTACCAAAGTGCAGCACAGCTGGAAAAGCGAGCACATTATCACCCCATAGATCATTTGTGAGCAATGAATAGGTCTCTGGTGTTTTTTCATTTTATAGACATCTGAATATAAAATAAAGAAAATAGCTTTGGATTATCTGTTTCCTTCCAAAATAAACAATCACTTTTTTTTTAGCACATTATTCCTGGTAGTCTGAAGAAGAAAGATTGGAATTACATTACTTTTCTGTCTCTGATGGTTGGAAAGGTTTGCTGAGCCTTTAACTGGACCACAGGGAAACATTTGATTGGTGGAATCATTCATACCCTTGTTTCTTCACTAAACAATTACACAGCTTCACTTATTATGTATCACGCACTATGCTAGAGGAAGGCATGAAAGAAGATGAAGTTCCAATCCAAGGTGAATTACAGAACTTTTCAAAAAATCATGCATTTCTTTTGATGAATATTTACAAAGGGAATATTAAGGTTCATAGAGACTGGATGCAATAGATAAATCCAGGATTTTGCCTTCCAGATTATTATAATTCAACAGAGATAAAATGTGCCTAATAATAAATCAGAGAGCAGAAAGCCAATGTGCTTCCCCGCTGCCTCCCAATCTTCATGTAGGCGGAAATGCCAGACCTGATTCTGTGCTGCGGTAAAAGATAAAGGGCTGGTGTGTGGCATGGCAATCTGGTGGAGGGGGAGGGAGGGAATTTCAGGACAATTTCCATAGGTGAGCCACAGTTCCAGCACTGCTCCTGAGTCAGAGCCACCCTTACAAAACCTTTAAGTCAGAAAACGTGGCCCAAGGGGAAAGCACTCACAAGAGAAGTGAACCCCAAGGGGAGTCATCTCCAGTGCTGAGCTGGGGACAGGAAGGCTGTTTCTAAACCGGCAAAAAGAAACATACGAGACATTTGCAAATATGACTCAGTGAATATGTCTTTTCTGCTACATCGCAGCCTATTTGCTGAAATTCAGTAGTGGTTTCAGTGCCTGGGCATCCACAAGTTGCTCTTGCTAGCAAAGCCAGTCGTGGCTGTGATTGGATTTGACAGTGTATAATGAGCCACTTCACTTAGCTGCGGTTGTCGTGTTCAGCATATTGTGGAAGGATTTAGCATAAATCATCACCCACCTAGCTCTCCATTGTGGTCTCTATGCTGTACACAGGCAATGTGTTGTTTGCCAATCTAAAAAAAAAAAAAAGCATCCATTAGGACAATTCAGCAATTTCTCGATCTGCTGCCACAACCGTCACCACAGACAACATTGGTGACAATATTTATTGACTCGCCACTGTATTTTAGCACTATTCCTGGGCAGAAAGCCAAGGCAGCTATTTTAACCACTGGCCATTTTGAACAAAGCATTTAACGTCAATAAAAAAAGTGCATTCAGAGTCAGAAGATCTGTTGTCTCTACTTGCCTCTGACTTATTGGATGCATGACCTTAAGCAAGTCATGTTTTCTCGCAGATCCAGTATTTTGATCATAACCATTTCTTCAAAGCAAATGAGATTATGTATTTAAAAAATGACTAGACAGCAGTTAAACAGAATATACTGAATGATTAAAGTCAAGTGAGATATTAAGAGTTTGACAAAGGCATCTGCTGCAAAAATCCAATTGGGATTACCCCCCACGCCCACCCCAAATCTAATGAACAATAGAGAAACTCTCCTCCTTTTTCTCCTCCTCCTCCTCCTCCTCCTCCTCCACATTCCCCATCTCACCCTCCTCCCACTTCCATGTCACTGACAGGTTAAAAATTAGAATATAAGATTGAGGGTCATAAAGTAAGTGCACGAAATAAAGAGGCACAAAAATATAGAGGTAGCATTTTGCAAAGGATTATATAATAAACTGTTCAATTACAATTTTCATCAGATATCAATCTTTATGCCTAAATATATATATATACATATATATATTTGATACAAGCCATACAAAGAGGAAAATCAACCACAGGGAGAAAAAGCCCATATCATTAGTAAGCAACATGTAATGACGATATAGAAACCAAAAATTATCAGGAGAAAGATTAGAAATAGCACAGAGGTAGGAGTTAACATCTTCAGCAATGAAGAAGAGTGAAATGTGGGTCTGTTACAGAAGTCAAGGAGAACAAAGTCTCATAATCTGATGATGTAAATTTCAAAGGTAGATTTTTGCTGTATTAGAAGGCATTGTTAGAAATATAATTGAGTAAAAGTCACCAAACTTCAAAATAATGAACCAATAGTAAAGAAGTATCATCAGATAAGTAAATTGAATGTGATTAAAATGCATTTGAAAAATAATCTTTGGATTTTTTGTCACTTAGCAAAGGAACATAACTCCATCTTATAGGAAATGTGTCCAAATATCATGGTTTGAAGAAGCATCACTTACTCTTCAGAAAAAAATATGGAATACACATTAAGGTGCCTGGGATTTATAATAAAGTGAAAACAAGATATAATACTGTATAACAATTTATAATTATAGCACTTTATAATATTGCATAACAATTTATAATACTGTGAGAACAAGTTAACAACACATGCTTTTTTAGAGGCATAAAAACAGGTGGGGGGGTGAGAACTTAAGTTCATTACTAAATCAAGAAGTGTATTTTCATTCTCATATTAGATAAAAATGAGCAACATTTGTCAAAGTGACCAGTCTCTCCTTCCTGAAATAGACTACACTTAGCGATACTTGGCTGAAATAACTACACTTGTATCCTAGAAAATCACTCTCTCTATTCTTTCCTTATCTTATTATTGGTTGTCCTTCATTGCTTATCCTGCTTATCCTTCCTTGCATATTCTGCTTTTCATCTGGGGCCACTAAACTTTGGAACGCACCAGGGCTCAATTCGCGAACTTTTTTTCCCCCTCTATATTCATCTATTACATGATTCCAAGGTTTTTTAAACACCATCTGCAAACAGAAGATGGCCAAGTCTGTAACTACAACCAATGATGCAGACTCAGAGATATGAATATTATTTTCAAGATTTTTTACTTGGATGACTGGAAATCAACATGACCAAAATAAGACTCTTGTTCCAGTGCAAATTTTATCTCTGTCAAAGAATTTTCTGATAGCAACTCTACTCATCCATTGATTTACCTCTCCAAATGTTAATCTCCTATCCTAGGACATTCCTCATTCCAAGAGTCATCTCTTGGTAGATTACATCAAACACACTAAATATTTTGCTTATTTGTTATAGTTTTTTTGTGAATCCTATTAGCACTATACTTTATTAACTTTACTTCCTTTTTCATCTATTTTGGAAATCATATATATTAACCCTTGCCATTTGCCTCACCTCATTGCTAACTCCAAATTTATATATTCTCAACATTTTCTAAAAATCTTTTATACATGAAAATTGGAGATAATTCGAGAAATATTTTCAGACTACTAAGGGGAAGTAATGAAAAAATGTATATTTATAATTCAATATTTATATGTCACATTTATAATAGAACTACTACATGATCGAGATGTACTGTGTTGTGTGGAGTAGTAGAAAATCTCTGTGTACTGGCAATAGTCTACAGATTTGGAAACCACTTCTCTAAAGAAGTGAGTTAATTCTTCAGCCTGGTCCAGTATCTTCTGGTGTCCTTACTTAATTCATGCACTTCCTGATATTTTTTTCTTATTCAATAGAGTGATCATATAAAAATGAAAGTCAAATCATATGCATTTCCACTCAATGTTTAATGACTTCTATTTATTTCTAAATAATAGTGAAGTCCTTCTATTAGATCATCAGATCATATTTTTCCACAAACAAAAGACACTCTCTGATATGACAATGCTATAACTATCACTCCTCCTTATCTCACTGGTTTCACTGACTCCTGGTTATCCCTCCAACAAACCAAGAACACTTCTTTTCAGGAACACTTTATTTGCTATTCTATTTTCCTGATTTCTCTTCACCAGGACAGATCTGATGTGACAAACAAATTCTCATATCAATAAATACCACTTTCATCCAAAGAACTGTATGGTTTTCTTTTTCCTTTCTTTTTTTTCTATTTGCTTCTTTATTTCCTCATGTCACATGCTCCAAAATATCTTCCTTGGGGATGTGGTCTAAGATAGCTATTTCCTTTCCCCAAATAACTCATTACTCCATTATTCTACTTTATTCTTTTTATAATAGAAGTGAGCAAGTACTAGAAAATATATCGTACTCCAAAGGTTTTAGATCTTTTTATCACCCCTTTCTTTTTTCTCTACCATAATGTTAAAGTATGTTTTGTACATTGTGTGACTAATATAAAACTAGAAGCCAGTCATAGACAAGAGGAAAAAAAAACATCGAACAGATGTCCATTCTCTGAAGATGACACACAGAACAGAAAAGCACAACATTATAACATTGATGTTTTTGTAGATTTTACAAAGAAAAGTTCTGTGTGACCAGTCACCTAACCAAGTCATAGATATCACCAAGAATGGATCCCAGTTTATCCTCCAGTCAATCAACCTTTTATGATTTATTCTACTTTATGCACAAACATTTTATGTCTGACTGTTACCAAAGCACTTTTCTAAACCCTTGAGAAGGTGCTAAATAGTTCACCTGATTTTATAAAATGATCCGATTCCTCTGTATCTCTCAGAGAGCCTGGCAAGCTAAGGAGAGTATCCCACCTGAACAGCTGAGTCTGGCAAGCTACCCATGGCGTATTCAATATGCCAAAAACAGTAACAAGAAGTCTCACAATGGAGATGTTACTGGTGCCCGCTTGAGCAAATCATAAACAACGGGAGGACAGTGCTACAGTGCTACAGATTGACTGATGATCAACTGATGCTGAGGCCTCAGGGTCGTATCCCAAATGGTAACTAGACATAGGAAAATGAGCATAGAGGAGACAAAAATCTTAATCTTTTACCTATCACTTTGAAAAAAAAATTATTACAAGAAAGATGTTAATGAGAAATTAGTCATACTAAGTTCCTTCCTAACTGGGGAGTTTCTCTTCCTTTCCATTATATTTTCCAATATACCTTTCTATTAAAAAAGTTGTTAATGGTAGTAAATCTTTTAACTATATTACAGATCATCTTCTGGAAAATATTCTCTATGCTTTATCCTATATCTTCACAATGATGGAAGGTGGCAAAAGAGAATACTTTTCTATTTTGTCTATGATAAAGTTAAAACATAGATTTAATAACAAAATTGAAATTAAGCAAAACAACTAAATATGGCAAGTATCAACAGAAGATGCTAAATCTTTGCGCACCTAACCTATTGCTTTTTCAAAAATATTTTCTTTTTACATGAATACATTATAGTAACGAAGGTATTACTTCTGACATGAATCTTTCCACAGTTGCTTGAATTTGTGGAAAGTTTGCTTCTCTGTTTTTCTATATAACATTTAAACTATGAATTTTCTGTGGAAAGAATAAAAATAACACTTATTCTTGGGTCATTTGTAGAAAGAAGTGTATATTTTAAGTGTGATGTTAGAACATTTTATGCATAAAACTCTATCATTAGTACTGTAAACCATGCTACCCAAATAGAATTTTTTAAAAGTATTGAATAGCAATTAAATATTATGCAAGACACTCATACTGTACTTGCCTTCCACATGCCATCATAACACTGCATAATACTACCTAACCCACTTGGGGAATCTCTATTTCAATCACATGTACAAATCAAGTTTGGCTCTTGCCATGTAGTATATGCTAAATAAATGTGTCTTGGATAAGTGAAATGGTAGCTTAGTAGGTTATTACAGATTCAACTGGAAATGAACCTTGAAAGTGAGTTACACAATTAGAGATCAAAACTGCTGATGCTAACAATTCCAAATGGTTCATACCAGCTGTTCATAGAATGACACTGAATCTGGAAATTTCTATTGTGCCGATACTGTCTCTGAAACTTATTGAAAAATAGTATATTTTCTTTTGCACTTCAGTTTATTTCTGGTTACATAATTTTTCATGTACTAACCAAAGGGGAAAGACTCAATACTTTTACTGTAATGAAAATTCTTCTAACTTTAAACATTCCATTTGTATCAAGGTAATTAAAATGGTCAAACACAGCAGAACGTGAAAACTTATTTTACAAAGAACTGGATGGGAGAGAACTCTAAGACAAAAGTGAAGGGAAGCAGAAACTCGGTGAAAAATACAGTGTTGGTATTCTGAATTC